CTTCTTCTTTGTTAGTCTCTAAGGTGCCACAAGTACTCCTGGTTTTTTTTGTATGTATAAACACGTGCTCTATTGGCTGGCTGAAGTTTAGAAAGATTGTAAGGAGCCTTCTATAGGTGATAACTAAAAGAGATCTTCCTTTAGTTCCAATGGTAGAAGCTGGTATTTCTGGAGATCAAGGACCAGAATTCTAGTCCCAGCTCCAGAGGTCTATGTGGCTTATTATTGGGAGGTGGTAACATTTCCATAGTTAAGCTCCTGATCCTGCAAACACTTATTGCTTAAGTATATGCATAATGTTTGCAAGATCAGGGCCCAGGTTTGAGATCACACTCTTGTTGTAATGCTGATTAGGATCCCCATTAAAGAAAGAAAAATCATCATCTTGTTTCACAGCAATCTAATCCCTGACCTATGGATCGTTGATTTTTTATACTACTTTTATATTTTGGATTATGTTATCTAAATATTTGCTTTTAAGGGAATATCAGTTAATATGTTTTGTGACTGAGAGTAGGAATTTTTAGTAATTTTTTTAGTAATTGCTGTTTCATGAGAATAATTTTCTATATTGTTTAGTAGGAAAAGTATATAGTACAATCCATATTTGTTAATATTATATATGTATGTGGACTTGCAGTTTAGGGTGATCTATATATGTATCATTAGTGGATAAATATAATTTTCATAAGGGTTTCTGTTTTTATATTTAAAGATTATGTTTACTGATAAAAATAATATTTATTTTGGGTCAGAGTTAAAGTTATTGTGTTATGAAGAAAATGACACACCTTATACATAGTTTCACAGATCATAGTTTTTTAGTCTTGTCCAAAAATATTATGTTTTGTATTTATAGTTCTTTTAATTAAAATATCTCCAAACACCTTAAAACACCATATGATAATTAATCAGTTCAGCAAACCTAAGACTAGATACATTTTATTATTTCCATTTAACAAATGGAAAGTAAGGCACAGAGAAGCAAATTAATTTAACCAAGGTCATGCAGAATGTCATGCTGAGAATAGACCCTCATTTTTTCTCTAATCTTTAGACAACATTCCCTTCCTTACAGATATTATTATTTTGTATTTAATTAGCTAAAAAGAACAAAAACATTCACATTCATTTTTATTTAGTTATTGCTAAAACACTTGACAAGGCTCATTCACACTGTAAAAATTTAAATGCGTGTGATTTTTAAAAATGAGGAGTGATATTTTGAAAGTCTCATTGAAACACATTCATTACAAGAGTGAAATACTTTCAAAACTGTCATAAAATTAAGCGCAAATGAATTAATCTTTTCTCAACAGTGAGTAAAACTTGGCAGGTCTGCCTTGAGATTTCTCACTGTTTGAGACTGAGAAGTATGGTGGCCAGTGGTTGGAGAGATCGATGCTCAGATTTTGTAGCTGAATCCAGCTGGTAGGGCAGAAGTCCAGCATCCTTTCAAAACATTCATACAAGGCTTGATACTGCCAGATTCTGAGCACTCTAGTCCCAACCAAGCAAAGCACTTGGGCAGATGCCCAATTTTAAATTTGTGAATAGTACCATTGAAGCTAATGGGACTGCTCACATGCTTACAGTTAATTACTTGCTTAAGAGTGTGATTTTCAAAAGTCCCTAAAGGAATTGAGTGCCTAACTCCCTTAGGCACTTCTGAAAATCCCATCCTAAGTGCTTTGCTATATTGGGACCAGAATACTCAGCACCTAAAAGATCAAGTTCAGAAGGACACACAATTTATGTATGCTTTCTTTGAGAAGGATATGAGTAAGTGGAATTGTTGAAGGTAATACAATACACCAATTGAAGAAAGAGCCATTCTGTCAGTGGCATGATGAGTACATTGGAGGTGCAGGAACTCTTGGCCAACCATCGATGTAAAGATTGAATGTAGTAACTTTTCTATGGAATAAAACAATTTAAATATTGAATTTTGGAAGCATATTTTATAGAGTTGGACAAAGCAGCAAGAATGCAGTGCAAAACAGGCAATAAGAGAGTAATAACACTAAATTACTTGGCCTTTTTTACATCTACTGTAATTCTCTATATGTTGTTTTTAAACATTTGCAAGAAAAAATACTAGGCTCTATGGGATATTTAAGCTATTTCTGCAAAGTGATACATTATTTACCATAAATACAAGCCGCAATCTTTTTCATTGTATTTTTGTTTTGATTTAACCAATGATCATCCTCCCCATAAATAGTAAATATTGTTAGAAAATTACCAATTGGATAAACCACATATGGTTTTTGCAATTCACATCTCACAGTATCATGGAAAAGAAGACAATAGCAACTGTGAGTGCAAACATCCAAGAGTGTTCTTAGGGTTTTGGGGTACAGTAATGTAAATTTGTTACTGGTTTCTCATTGCTAGTAAGACTACTTTGTTTCCTTCACACTCCTCAGTGCATTTTCTATCTGTGTTATTTAGGAACTTGGAAGGCAAAGAAGCTGACAGAATCATAGTATGTTTAAATGTGCAAAATGCGTTCATAAAAAAGCTATTTTACTTTTTCACATGTAAACATTGATTGTTACTTCTTAGATGTGGTAGTTTAATTTACATAGTAGCATGATATTCTGAGCAAACAATATAAAATACCACAGGAAAGGAATTTAGGAATAGGCTAAAGATCTCCATATAAGGAGATTGGACTAAACCTACTTTCTACACATTTTTACAGATTTCCTGAAAAATGTAAGCTTTAAGACCCCAAATCTGCAAAGACTTAGACATGTGCAGTGTTGCCAACTCATGATTTTATCCTGAGTCTTGCATATTTGATGTTTTTCTAATATGCTCTTCTGACACAGATGATAACTTGAGAATTTCAGTTTTCATTTTTAAAAGGGTTACAGAGAAAAGCTTGAAAATGTGAATCATAAAGTTTCAAAAGCACGAAGACAAATAAAAAAACCCTCAAATTTATTATTTTAAATGTCTCATGATTTTTAAGCCAATCTTGTGATTTTTGGAGTCTGAGTCATCATTTTGGATTATTTGGAATTGGCAGTCCTGATGTGACAATTGACTTCAGTCAGATTACTCACAGTAAAGGAAGTTAAGCATGAGTGTAAATGTTTATCAAAAACATATAGGTATATTTTGTAATATGGATTTTTAGGACCTCATAGGAACCACTCTTCAGGGTTTCCTAAGAAATTACTTCTAATGCCTCGATCCTGCAAATACTTATGCATATGCGTAAACATTACGCATGTGCCTAGGCCCATTGAAGTCAATGGAACTACTTATGTTTGTGAGGTTAAGTATGTACATAAGTGTGTGCAGTGTAGAAGCAGGATTTTATAATGTCCCATGAGAATTAATGTATGATTTGAGTTCATCCTGTCAGCCACCGTTTTTGAATAGCAGAAAGGAATGACAGACCAGAACAATCCTTATGACTGATTATGGTCACCCTTTTGTTTTAGGATAAGTTATAATGTCTACTATGGTTTCCTATATGTATTACAAATTAGGCACGCTAGTTAAATATATATTTCTTTGTTTTAAGGTTTAGTAAGTAAGAGACAGGATCTATGTTAAGGAGATTAGAGGAATGTTGAGGGCCTGAAGCACCAATATGAATTGTTTTAGTTATAAGATTTAGCAAGTCTTGATTTACAATGTATTCTGCTGAATATACAATACTGCTGTCTGTATACCTTTGAAGGTTTCTGTAAGAGATTGTTTGTGTGAATGAGGAATGCATGCATCAGGAAAAGATAAGGTATGAAAGCCATCACAAATGTCCAGATGGTGAGAGACTTGGAAAGACCAGGAGACAATCAGAAAACATCCATTGTATCCGATGCTAAACATGTTAGCAGCATTGACGACCTCAGAGGTGAGGCAGGCACCCCAAAGGTGAGACAACAAATAGAAGATAATGATGGGAAGCCCGACAATAACTATCAAATGATAACACCACTTAAGGACTAATGGTTACAGGATGACATTGCAAAATGCATGGACTCAAATGGGAATTTACAACTATAAAGCTGGGGTGTTTTGCCATGGAACTCTGGGTTCAGTCCTGCAAAGCCTCGGAGCATCGGATCGCAACCAACAAGAGCCCAGCTCCTCACTCGTGCTCAATCTAACTGGCCATTAGATTGACTTGAGCTACAACAGACTGGTAACTATAACCATCAACTGGCAGGACTCTGTGTGTTTGTGTGTGTATGTGTGTGTGTGACTAAAAAGCACATGCTAACTGTTGTATTTTCAATAAATGCACCATATTTGCCTTCTCCTATAAAAGATCCCGTGTGCTTTGTATAGCATAACAGCAGGATCAGGGCCCAAGATGCAATGCTGGATTAGCTCTTTGGGAGCATTGTGTAATTTAGCATACATCTCACCTTTTCTCAACCATTTTATAGGCCCTGATCATTCCCTCTTTGATGCCTGGCTTGAGTTCTTCTAGCTGTCTCACTATGTAGAAATTGGGTGTCTGCTATTATGTGGCAGAAGTAGCCCAGGTAAATTCCTGTTATTAAATTTCTTTATTTAAGCATTAGCACTCAATAGCCAATAAAATGTATTTCCTTGCACCATAGCAAGGCTGAGCCCTTATTTTAACCCAATGTAGATTTTATAATATAATATTCTAAAGTCAATGTGATGGGGTTACAATATGGAGTTACTGAGCTAATGTGGATGCAATCAGCCCTGCCTCCCTACACCTGTAAGAGATGTCAGACTTGGAGGGAAAAGCTTAAAAGGGGAGAACATAATACAGTTGCCTTGACCAGAGGAGATTTTTAC